GAGAAATCACCCCCCAGGTGGGATGGCCATGCCACAATCCCTTCTCCTCCATTCTCCTCTCAGGACCTTGGGCACGCACACATACACACCCGGTGTGAGTTTTAAGCCACTGGGTCCAGGATGTGAACCACAGTCGACTATGTGGGAGTCCAGCAACATAGCCATTATGCTAACTGCTTGTCCTCTAGAAGACTGTTTTTCAGGCCAATTTCTTTCAATAAGGGATATGTGACTAGTTCAAATAATAGCATCATTTCTATACCAAAGCATAAAAGAAAAAGTATATGGTTCGATACTTGTTTTATTAGCTACTGTAGAAACTGAGTGATGCATAAATTTATAAAAATGATGCAACAAGATGGTGACTCTGCTATCTTGAGTTCATGTGACATAAGGATCAGAGGCTTCCTTTCCTAGCAGCCAAGGTTAAAAATGTCAACTCTGAGAAAAGATATTGCATTGATTTTTTTGATATTGTGTTTTATCACCACAGAATAACCTATATCATCTTAAAACACAACTTAGCCTCTCTGACATTTTTAAAATGTAACTTTTCAAGAGCATGATTCTCCTTAAGCTAATGTGTTTGCCAGTAATGTCTCCTGAAACTTTTATTAGACAGTGTCCCTGGAAGAATCTCTGAGGTGGAGAGGTGTTATGTTGAGAGTAACTGGAAGTGCTTTTAAGAGATCCATCTGCATGGGTGTGAGGAAGGGCAGAGGGAGCTGATAAACCTCAGCTACTGTAACTAAGCCATAGCCGGCTTGAAGGAACTCCAGTGCTGGAATGTCCTTTCTTTGTTCAATGTTGTAATGAATGCAAAAGTTTTTAGACCTTTGTATCAAATTGTCTGATAAATATCCCCTGATATTTTCCTCTCTATGGTAAGGTAAATGTTTACTCAGTTTGTACTTTTTAGGAGACATCTTTAAATTGGATATCAATGTTATCATCAGTGGGAATTGAATGTAATGGAGATGGCCAGGAATTTTGGGTAAAAAAACCTTGGATTCCACTTCTCTTGTTATTTTTAATTTGTTTGAGGGCAAATTGTATCATGTGTGCCTGCCACAGAGAGACAGAAGAAAGGAAGAAATAACCCCTCATAGGGAACGGGCATACTAAGATTTCTTTTCCTAAATTTCCCAATGCTGGGATTTGGGATGTACCAGGGGATCAATATTTGAAACATGCAGTCAACCATGTGGGATTCAGCCACACAGCTGAATCTGGCCCACCCTACTCTTTTTCTTTCTCTATCATCTTTGTACTGTTAATAATCCCATGACTCAGGAAATTACCTGTGTTTTTGTTCTGTGTTTCAGAAAATTGTGCACAAACAACCAAGAGAAGTTGTGAGGATTGTAAGGGATATGTAAACCCAGCTTTCACATTTTCTTTGCTCGTATGTGAGAAGATGGAATTAAAAGCTATCCAACTCTCATTCCCCACCTTGGCAACCCACTTACCTGTGGGCTTTTAGAGAGTTCCAAAAAGGTTCCAACTTGGGCTGAAAATTTTGGCATGTTTCCTGCAATGATAGCAACAGGTTGTTTCTGTGTCTGGCATTGTAGTTTGACACAGTCTGATTCTCTCCAGAGAGCAAAAACAGAACATTTTCTAAAGTTCTTTTGTCACTGGTAATTGCGTTGTAGAGATCATAAACCAGGGAAAGGTTAGGGAGCAAATGGGGGCTCTTATTGATCTCCTCAATGGCAAAGAGAAAGGCCAGTACATATTGGTAGTTGTTCCATTGGTACCTAAACAGAGGAGGCAGTGTTAGGAAATAAAATAAATTTATGTAATTCAGGGTAAATTCTTCAGCCAAGCCGCATGACATACAGGTTTCGGTCTAGGCTGCCATTCTGAGATTCTCCTGCACTGGTACATGGAGCTGGTGTGAGTAGTATTCACAGGGCTCTAGAAAACCTTGAAATGTTTTTCTCTCTACTTAATCACATTGTGTGCAATCAATGAAAAGAGGTTTCCATGTCCTTGTGAGGGAGACGAGGTTTTGTTTAGCTGGATGATGACTCTGTCACCTGAACAGAGGTGATTTTAAAGACAGATCATTAATGTATAGAGAAGACAACTGGTTTACAGGCTGTGAATAAAGAGTGTACACATTCACCATTTTTATACATTTAAAAATTTATATATAGGCAAGTTACAATATGTATATATATAAAATACAATGTAGTTTTAGGATTTTTAAATATAACATGGAACAATTGGACTATGGTACTTAATATACATATATCACTTGAAATATTTTATATTTTCTGTGATGATAACATTAGTATCATACTCCCTTGGCACTGTTGGAAATACTAGTACTCAATTATGAATTACATTCCTCATGATTACACTCACCTTCATAACGCTTCTCAAATGTATCCCACATGTCATCTTGTTTCTATGTATGTCCAGAAACCACAGTTGAAGCATTTCTTACTTTCCCTATGCTCTGGAACTTTTATATAGCATCTGGTGGGGCTAGCAATTGGCATCATGGTTAAGGCACTAGACTTTCGAATAAGCCGACCACAGTTCAAGTCCTGGCCCTGGAATTTCTCTCTCTCTCTCTCTCTCATAGGTGCCCTATAGTAAATTCAAAACAAAATAGTAACAAATAACATTAAATAAATAATTTAAAAAATAGCATCTGGCGTGCCAGTTTTTCAATTATTTGGCACATTTCAGGCACTTTTTGGAGCCTTTTTCTATAGTTTTATACACTTCTATATCAACTGTTTGAAAAAAGTATTAGGTATGTTTTTGTTGAAAATTATATATTTAATTCAGATCTTCTATTGACTTACTGACTACATCAAGTGTTTCTACCAATTTGTAAAAACATTTTTCTCTGCAGTTAATTGTTCTTTTAATTGTTCATTTTCCACTTGGAAGTTCTTATCTTTTAAATGAATATTATTTAAAACTATTTTTTTAGACTTTAAAAATTGCACAATTTTCTTTCTTACTGAATTATTGTTACGCTATATCTTTAATTCCGTCTCGATTCTCTGGAATTATTCCGGTCTTAATCTCTTAAATTTTGACTTTAACATTAATAATAAACAAATTTCTTTTTTTTTTTTTGAGAAGTTTTGCCTTAGGGTGTATTATCTTGCTGAAGAAAGAGAGGGTAACACAGTGAGAGGGAAACTGCAAAATTATTCCTAAAGGGCATAGCCAATCTGGAAATCCCCTATTCTCTCTTCTCTTCCTGGGGTCCTGGGAATGCATGCACACATGTCCAGGTGTGATTTTCAAGCCACCAGGTCCAGAACTCGAAGAGCAGTTGGTTATGTGGGAGACCAGTGACATCTGATTGTCCCCAGATTTGTTAATAAAGCATGTGAGACTAGAGATTTTTATGCAATCAGAACTCTAATTTTTCAGCATTTGTTCTCCTGGCATTTGTTTCTTTTTTGGTTTACAGTATGTGCACTCACCAGAGAAAAACAAAGAGAGATAGACAGAGAAAAAGAAAGTGAGTAATAACCCCCCTGGAAAACTGTCATGCCACAAGTCTTTTTTTCTTTTATTCTGCATTTGGGATGATTAACATGCAGACACACATCTGCCTGGCTTGTATTTCAGGCCACTTTATTTTCAAACCACATACTCAGCCATGAGAGAAACAGCAGACTTTGATTTAAACATTCAGAAGTTTTCTTCTTTTTTTAAAAAAAAATTGAGAGTTTTTTGCCTAAATGCACATTAATTTGCCAGAAAAAGAGATTGACATAAAGTGAGAGGGAAAGTGAGAAATCACCCTGTGGAGGGGGGAGGGCCACACCAAAATTAGTCAGTCACATGGGAGTCCAGCTACATAACTGCTGTGCCATCTGCTGGTTCCCTGATTTGTTAATAAAGGATGGTAAATGAAGTATTTTCATGCAGTCAGAACTCTGTTTTTTTCTGAGTTGTTATATTTTACTGTTACGTTTTCTGTTGTTATAGGATGTGTGCACTCACCATAGAGAAACAGAGAGAGAAGGAGGTAGAAAAAAAAGTGAGAAATCACCCTCTGGAGAATGATCATTGCACAATCCCTTCTTTTTTATTTTGCACTTGGGATGATTGAATAGGCAGGAAAACTTCCACCTCAGCTGCCTTAACCTCCATGCTGAATAAGGAGTTCAACTCCACTCTAGGTACATAGGGGATGGACTCTGCATAATTGAGTTACTGTGGTCTCAGTTTCTGTGTCTGGTAAATGTTCACTGTGTCCCCATTACAAATGTCAGAGGAATTTATGACTCCCTGTTCCTGGGCTAAATTCAGACTGAAACCCATCACTGTGTAAGTTTCAAGCTGCTAGTTCCACACCTCTAACCTCAACTGTGTGGGAGTAGAGCTCCTTAACCACTGAGTCACTGGCTTGTCCCTTGATAAAACTTTAATCAGACTTCAGAGAATTGTGCAGTCCTATCTGCACACTTGTATATAATTCACACAAGTGAATTTGGCCAAGATCTCCATTACCTCTAATGTTACCACTTAGTAATTTTCTATCAAATCATGCCCAACTTGCTCTTTGGGTTTAAATTCTTACATGTCCTTGCAATATTCAGAGTAGAACCTAATATTTCTGAACTACTGCAAAATCTCATAGTCACAC